AGAGTACATTCGGTAATTCCTCTGCCCAAAGTCCTTTAGCAGCTTCTAGCTTAGTTTTGATGATCTTCAGAAGAGAACGGTTGGTGACCTCGACTTGGCCATTGGCTTGGAGATGACCTGGGGAGGAGAAATAGGGTTGGATCTGGAGGTCTGCACAGAACTTCCTGTACTTGGCGTTGTCAAATTGTTTGCCGTTGTCGGAGATGATGGCTTGAGGGATGCCAAACCTTGCATACGATCGACTGCCAGATGAATTTGGTTGTGTTCCGTTCGGTAATGGTGGCAAGGGGTTCTGCTTCCACCCACTTGGTGAAGTAATCAATGGCAACAATCACGAACTTGGTCTGGCCTCGGCCAGTGGGAAGTGGACTAACTAAATCGATCCCCCATTTGGCGAACGGATAAGGACTGCAAAGTGCGATCAACTCGGTGGGAGGAGCATGGGAGATGTTGGCGAAGCGTTGACATTTATCACATTTGAGCACGAAGTCGGTCACATCTTGGTTGAGGGTAGGCCAGAAATATCCAGTGCGAAGTGTTTTATGGGCTAGGGATCGGCCGCCTGAATGATTACCGCAGATACCCTCATGGATTTCTCGCATCACATAGGTTGCTTGAGCTGGACTGAGGCATCGCAGATACGGGCGTGAAAAACCACATTTGTACAAGACACCACTGACGAGGATGTAATTGAACGACCGGGCCTTAACTTTGGCGGCTTGCTGTTGGTCATCTGGAAGTTCCCCCGTTGTCAAAAATAGAAAGATGTCCGACGCCTAAGCGATGGGCTCATTCTGGAAGAACTGCACTTCTTGCTGATACGGAGAAATGGTAGGGTGGGCTAGGTATTCGAGACGGACACCATAGCTGAGGTCGGACTGGTCTGCAGAAGCCAACTGAGCCATCTCGTCTGCTTTTGAGTTTTTCGCCCGAGGAATGTGCTGGATGTGGAAGGTATTGAAGAGGTGAACAAGGGGAAGGGCAATATCCCTGTAAGCCCGCATTGTGTCCTCCTTTGCATCGAATTCCCCCGTAATTTGTCCGACAATGAGCTGGGAGTCACTAAACACCCGGATGTGGCTGACACCAATGTTCCTGGCCAGGCGGAGCCCTGCTATCAATGCCTTATATTCGGCCTCATTGTTACTGGCATCGAACAAGAAACGGAGAGCACATTTGAAATAACCACCCTCAGGGGCGGTGAGGATGAGGCCAGCCCCATTGCCTTCTCTGCGGGATGATCCGTCGACATTGAGAGTCCAAGAATGAGGGTCCTCTGGCTAGGTAGGGGTTGGTGAGGGCGGAGTGGCTGTGGTTGGGGTAGGATTAGTGAACTCCAGGATGAAATCGGCGATAGTCTGCCCTTTAATTGCTGTTCGAGGTCGGTAGGAGATGTCAAACTAGTTGAGTTCCACCGACCATTGCATGAGTCTGCCAGAGAGCTCTGGTTGCTGCATTACCTTCTTCAAAGGTTGGTCGGTGAGGACCACTATGGAATGGGCTTGGAAGTAAGGACGGAGTCATCTGGAGGCGATGACCAGGGCCAAGGACAATTTTTCTAACAGTAGGTAATTCTGCTCGGCACCCCTGAGGGCCCGACTGATGTAGTAGACCGGCCATTGAACAGAGTCGTCTTCCCTGATAAGAGTTGCACTGACTGCGGTGCTTGAAACAGCTAAGTAGAGGAAGAGGGGTTCGCCAGTGATTGCTTGAGATAAGAGGGGGGGTTGGCCATGCACTGCTTCAACTGCTGAAAGGCCTCTTCGGACTCGGTCGTCCATTCAAAAGTTTGCCGAAGAACTTTGAAGAAGGGGAGACACTTATCCGTTGCGTGGGAAATGAAGCGGTTAAGGGCGGCAACTCGGCCAGTGAGTCTTTGAACTTCCTTAACCGTTCTGGGTGACTGCATTTCAATCAAGGCTTTGATCTTTTCAGGGTTAGCTTCAATGCCTCGCTGACTGACCATGAAACCCAAGAACTTCCCAGATTCTACGCCAAAGGCGCACTTCTCCGGGTTAAGCTTCATTTGGTACTTCCGTAGGGTGGTGAAGGTCTCTCACAGGTCGGTCAAATGGTCAGCGGAGAGTTTGCTCTTGACTAGCATATCATCGATATATACTTTCATGTTTCGACCGATCTGATGATGGAAAACGGCATTGACCAACCGTTGGTAAGTAGACCCAGTATTTTTCAGTCCAAATGGCATCACTTGGTAATGGTAGGTGCCTCGGTCGGTAATGAAGGAGATATGTTCCCGATCAGATAGATGCATCAGAATTTGGTTATACTCAGAGAAGGCATCCATGAAGCTGAGCATTTGGTGACCGGCCGTGACGTTGACCAGCAGATCTATGAGGGGAAGAGGATAACTGTCTTTGGGGCAAGTTCGGTTGAGGTCTGAGTAGTCGACACAAAGTCGCCATTTACCATTGTTCTTGCGAACCAGGACCACGTTTGACAACCATCTAGGGTAGACCACGTTCTTGATGAATTGGGCCTCAAGGAGCTTGTCAACCTCTGCGGCAATAAGAGTATTGCGCTCAGGATGAAAGATACGCTGCTTCTAGTGGTAAGGTCAAAAATGGGGTTCAATGTTGAGGCGATGGGTTACGAAGGAGGGGTCAATACCCAGCATGTCTGAATGGGTCCAAGCAAAGACATCATTGTGCTCGGTCAGGAGGGCAGTAAGGTCGGCCTTTGCTTGGGGGGATAGTTGGCTGCTGATTTTGACAGTTTTTGTTAGGTTGGTGGGGTCGATGGGAACCTCTACGAGTTCCTCCACAGGTTCTCATCTGACCAGCTCGTTCTCATCTTGGACGTCAAGTCCTTTAATGATCATAGCTTCCTTCAGCTTGACTTCTTTTAGTGAGGCAACATAGCATTCCCTGGCTACGGTCTGCTCTCCCTTTACAGTCCCGACCCCCAGATCGGTGGAAAACTTAACGGCAGGGTGATAAGTTGATGTGATAGCTTGAAAGGCATTTAGGGCAGTGCGACCAAGAATGATGTTGTAGGCGGATGGGCAGTCGGCAACAAGGAAGGTGAACAACTTTGTAGTCTGTCGTGGGTACTCGCCGAATGTGATGGGAAGATCAATAGAGCCGATGGAGGTGACCCAGTCGCCAGTGAAACCGACCAAAGGAGTTTGGAGAGGAGACAGACTTTCCTCTCCAATTTTGAGCTGGTGAAAGCAGTTGAGAAAGATGATGTTTGAAAAACTGCCGTTGTCGATGAGAACTCGTCTGACCTTGTAGTTGGAGAAGAGGGCAGAAATAACGAGATGGTCATTATGAGGGTAGCGGATGCCTGTACAGTCGGCGTCCGTGAAGGTGATAGGCTCGGTCCACTGCTTGGGCTGTTTGGAGGGTCGATCGATTGTGGCAACTGCTTTGTCTGAGCCCTGCCTTATCTTCCTAAGTTTTGCCCTCTAAGCCAAGCGGGATGGTCCTCCGCAAGCAAGACCGTCTAAAATGACTCTGATCTCTCTAACAGGTGGAAGGGGGTTGCCTGGCGGCCGAGGTTGTTGTGGAGGGCGATCATGGCCTTGGTTAGGTTGGGCTGGCTGCGGGGGGGGTGCACCGGCAGTTGTTTCTGAGGGGCTCAGTTCTTTGCCTCTGCTGAGGGCGGGTGTCTGTGAACCAGCTAAGACGTCCATGGCGTATGAGGGTCTCGACCTGATCTTTGAGGTTAACGCACTCATCGGTGTTATGGCCATGGTCTTGGTGGAAGCGGCAATATTTGGACTGGTCTTTCCGATTAGAAGGGGTTCGTGACGGTTGGGGCCATTTAAGGGGGTAGTCCCGCTGGATCTAATTGAGGACTTGTTCCATGGGGGAGTTAAGGGGTGTGTACCGCTTGAACCGATCGGGCGGTCAGGCTGGTGCCGATCGGTCAGCTCGGGGGGCCGATCGGTATAGTGTGGTGTGTGGCTATTATACTGGGTGTTTCTGGGTTTTGAATCTTTTCTCTTTTCTCTGGGGGCCGGATTTTTGGTTATGGGATCTTGCCGGGAGGCTAGAGAATCCTCAGCATTCATGTATTTTTGGGATTTGGAGAGTAGTGCTGCCATGGAGGTCGGGGGGTTTTTAGAGAGGGAGAACAGGAAGTCGGACGACCGCAGACCAGCCATGAAAGTAGTGAGGATGACCTTGTCATCATTTTTCGCTACTTGCAGGGCCTCGATGTTGAAGCGGGTAACAAAACTGCGTAGCGACTCCCCCTCAGTCTGTCGAATGTTGATGAGTTGGGTTGCGTGGCGTCGCTGGCGCTGGGCTCCAATAAAATGGCTGAGGAAGGAGTCATTGAGATGCTGGAAAGTGGAGACGGAGTCTGTTGGTAACTGGCTAAACCACAGCCGAGCTGACCCCTTCAGTGTCACGGGGAAAGCTCGACACATGATCTCGTCAGGGAATGCATGGAGGATCATAAGGGTTCTGTAGGTCTCCAGATGGTCGACTGGGTTCGTCGTATTGTCAAAAGAGTCGATGGTGGGCATCTTGAACTTGGGGGGTAGAGGTTTGTCGCTCATGGAGGCGACAAATGGTGAGTTTGCTGTGGTAGAGGGTTTATGCTGGATGTTCTGCATGACCCCTTGGAGTTAGAGCTTCATGGCTCGGAGTTCCGCGTCCCATAGAGGGATGTGGCCACCTCCGGAGGGCAACGAGGGCTGGACGCTGCTAGCCTCTCCTTCAAGGATTGGTGACGGGATCGACGGATGTGGGCCCCAGGGTGGTAGGTTTATACTTGGAGAAAGAGGTTGCAAGCGTTCTCTGTTGGGCGGATTAGGTTGTGGAATAGTATGGCTCGGGGCTTGTTCGTAGTTGGGGGGAATATTGGGAGGTGGTGGAGGGGGCATAGGAAGGTTTCTTTGGAGTAGGGCATTGATCAAGGCTTGGTTTTTCTCGGCCATGCGGTTAATACTGTTGGTAAGTTCGATGAAATACTGTGGTGGGTTGTTTGGATTGGGGGGGTCGGCAGCATTTTGGTGAGAAGCCATGGATCTAGTCGTAACCATACACTTCGATGGGTAGCGAGAAAGGGTTATTGGAACTGGGTCTTCGGCGACAGTGAACACAACTGGCGCGAGAAGCAAAGCTTTTCCACAGACGGCGCCAATTGATGATACAGTTACTACACAACGAGTCCCAGGTGGAATGGGTCGGACTAATCCACGCTTCTTCAACCGGTAATTGAGTGTTCAAGCCCACCAGAAAACCTGCACAGGAGTTCAATAGGGAACGGGGAGTCCCCCAGCGAACCCTCCGACGAGCAAGTTAGAGAGAGAGAGAAGTGAAATGTAGAGATATGAATTGGAGATAGAAAACTTAACCTTTTTCTTGTCTTTAACGTTTGCTTATATCCTTTGGTAATCATTTCGCCGTCCTTTCCAACCTGCCACCTTAGCCGAAAGTCTATGCTGTAACTTACCTTGTTCAAGGTGAGGGGGTGCTGTTCCGACGGAGAGGTGTTGTCGTAATAAATGCTGTGATGGGCTCTCACCTCCAATGTCAATGGTAGTGATCCAACCATACTGTAATTTGAAGCATTCCATATCTTTTGCCACGTAAAAAAGCAAATATTATTAGTCATAAAAACGAAAAAAGTTATGAAAGAGATCAGTTTGAAGTTTTATGTACGTGCTGCTGTGAAAACATTCTACTTCTCAGTTAGCTTTAGAATTTGTTCTTTGGGAGGTTACAGAATTTTGTATCTAATCCGTTTTTGTTTTTATGTTTTTAAGATAAACAGTACCTTTACAGCTGCTCCATCCAAGGAAGAGCTAGCCGAATATAGCAACCCATCACGAATGTTCAATGCGTGGATGGGATTTGCTTTCCCCAGTAATTTCCTCGAGCCACTTTGAATTGTATTAAGTGTTCCGGTGGCTAAATCAATCTCCTGGAAGCTCAAGAAAGTTAAATTTTAAAAATTAACACGCAAAAAAGAAAAAGAAAGAACATGAACTGAGGTAACGGATGTAGATAAAATTTTGATACCTGAATGCTATTATCCTGGCATCCACTGTATAACTTCCCATGTAGAAGGGTAATACACTTTGCAGATTTGTTTGGATTTAACAGTTTGGATCCTCCGCCCCATGAGTGCATCTGATAGAAGAATATAACAAGCTACATAAATCAGTTACATATTCCTGACTTCTTTTGGAAAGCAACTTAGCTCAAAGATGCATGATTTTGTTGAACTTTTACAAACCATATGCAAGAACAAAACAATGTTGAGTATGGCACTTCAGCACAAAATTTCACCAACCCAAACAAACATATACACAAAATTTCACTAACATAAAAATATTTTGCAAATCTATTAAGAATTTTTTTTAAACTCATAGATCCACCAATTTTGAGTGGTAATTGAACAACGAGTGACCAAATATAGACAAATTGAAGCACAAATACAAACACAGAGAGAGATCTACCAGTTTTTTGTGGTGTCGAAGCTTATTGAAAGGGTGGCGTCGTTGTTGGTGGCTGCACTTCGTGTTCGTGGCCCTTGTATCTTCGCTGTTCTTCAACTCTCATGAAGAAACGAAAAGAGAGATTGAGAGAGAGAGGGAAGAAAAGAATAGATAAGGTAGGGTTTTGTTTTTAGTTTTAATCTAATGGTCCAAATAAAAGATGCTAATCCAAGGGCCAAAGACCAGCCAAAAAAATAAAAAAATAAAAAATAAGGGCTAGTTATTTAATTTATACATATATTATATAATTTATATAATATATTAAATGTAATTCGGGTTCGGGTTGCTCAAGTTAGCCACTGACTCTGCCCAGGGGCATCAAAAATCTGTCCAGGCACGTCCATATTACAAGATATTGTTGTTCAAGCCCTAAAAAAACTCAAACTGGGCACGGGTTGCTCGGGTTAAGTTTACCCGAGTTGCACCCCTAAGCAAAACTAGTTCTAGATGGAGAAATGATTTTTTGAAAGGTCAGTAACAATATGATATTTTATAAGGTCAGTAACAATATGATATTTTATAGATAAGTAAGAAACTAAAGCTTCACTTCTTATTTATGATGTACTAGCTTGAATTCACTTTAGGAAATTATTTATTTCTCCTCAAAGTAGGTGTTTGGTCTGCAACACGAACAGGTCAAGATGTGACGACGATCACACTGAGTAGGGCCGTTCTCTCCTATTCACCCTTAATGATATGAAATGAATCATGTAGAAAGAGATTCACATTCCTCTCTCTATCTCTCCTTATTCTCTCTCTTCCACCTTAATAGAGGTCAAAATGATAATGATATATTAAATAATGTATCACCACTCAATCAAAAAATTATCTCAAAGATTTTTTCATTTTATTTTTTATTAAAAAAAATGCATGTTCCAAGCCACTCTTAAAACAAAATGGAGTGCAAATATGGATATGGTGATTTTTCGCTCTCATCTAACGAGTCGGGTCAGAGCAAGGTGGGTTCCAGTCTAAATCAAATTTGAGGATATTGTTAGGCTTCAATAGGCTTGTCGTAGAACTTATATCGATAATTCAAACAGTTCAATATATATAATTCATTGAGTACTTAATCTCTATAAAAAATTAAATTGATCGGATATTGATAGACATTTTATATTATCACATTTGTATCAACGGTAAATATAATTTATTTTAAATAAATTATTTATAAAAATATGATCAAATCAAATCAAATAACTATTAATATTTGATTAATGTAATTTTTTACAAAAATAAAATAGTCAACAAACTTGAGCAAATCAAATTATCAACACATACTCCATAATGGGTCTACGGAAACCAACAAACGCTCTCCAATCGAGATATTCAAGCTTCTCCCTCTTACCAGCATATCTAAGCGATCCCAGTAACTGACTAGCCAACCAGGGTGATTTGTACTGCCCCATCTGACATCTCACACGGGTCGGAGCTGACCGCCGCGGTCTGGCAGCGGGTTGAGCAGTTTGTTTTTTGGCTCATTCCCCGCAGTTGGGCGCGCCAAAAGTCCCTCTCCAAAATCCTTGGGGGATCTGTTTCACGACAAATTTCTTATTTTGTGTAGTCTTTCAACCTAGAATCACTTCTTCTTCTACTTTGGGAAAAACCCTATTTCATTCCCCAAAACAGCTATGTTTCATCTCAAGGTGACTCTCAATCGGTCCATCAGTACTGGCTTTGTTCTGATTTCTTCATCGAAGACTATTCCCTATCAGAATTCAGGTATTTGTTTATTTTTCATTTTTTGTACTCAATTGCGTTGACTCTTTTGCAATGTTTGTTTATCATATTGTTTGGGATTATAAGTAGGATTGAGTGAGAAAATTAATAGTGTAGTAGGATTAAGTTAGATACCTCAGATAAATTGTGTTTATTTGCGTAGAGTTGTTTGGAATGATCTAAATAAGTGTACGATTTGTAAAGAAATGTGCAGAAAAATAAAGAGGTTATATGACCTAAGGAAACAAACTCTAATAGATAGTAATATTAGTTGGTTGGGATTAAAATATTATTTTCATCTATAATCCTATCTTCTCCCTTCATTAGAGGTAGTCGTGGTTCCATGACATAGTTCCATGACATAGTCCCATGTATCCGTGACATTTTTTCAAAACAAACCTTTGTGAGATCCATGGATTATTAATCCAACACCCTCTCCAAATTACTAAACAAACACGGCCTTTGATTATGGATACATGTACACATATTTTTATGGCATCTGTGATCCTGATATAGCTTTCCACGTTGTACTTACGGAAGAATGGGCCTGAAGTTATGGTTCACATTGTGCAACAAATAAACAATTTTTTTTCCTGATCATTTGAAATTCCAGCAGAGTATGAGGAGATAGTATATAACACTAAGATCAATGGTAAGATAAATTGAAAAATGGATATAATATGTGAGTCCTTTCTTGTCTTGTCCGATACTGTGATTTTTATGACCCCCTGGCAATGAGCCTCATTTCCAAATTAGGTGATTCAAAACTTACTTCAAGGAAGCAGTGAATTAAAAGTTGGTCTAGTGTTGTTGATTGGGATTATATCATTGTTAGTCATTTTGTGGATCTCTCTCTATGCCTAAAAGAGAAATAGTTGCAATTTGCGTAGTTTTAATGCTAAGAAAGCCTAATTTTGATCAGATATGTTAAGTGTTATGTGTTCTTTATCAGAACAAAACCTTACTGCTGAGTGAATAATTCTGGTAGCATGTCATTTTCACGAAGCCATGTCATGCCTATCTGACGTTAGACAAGGGAGCTAATTCTTCAGCTTATCAATTAACAGTAACACCACATGGTACTCCATATCATGTTTTGATGTCTTGCTATTTGCTGTCTTTGACGCTGATTCATGTCAATGTTAACTACATCTCAAAACAATTATCACAGAAGCTTGCTACATCCATCATTGTGCTAGTTCTTTAGTCCTACTTTATAAGGTTCGACAGTAAATATCAGCAGCATCCAAGTTAATGGTAAAGCTTAAAGAATTAAACCATCAAAAAAAAAAAAAAAATCAGTACATTTTGGTATAAAAAATTGCGGTAGTCCAACAATGTCCTATATGTTCAACCATTTAAGTAAAAATTAAATTAGAAATCATAGAACAAAATTTGATTAAATTTGGGCTATATTAATTTATTCCAAACCCTTTTGGAAATGTGCCATCATTTTTTAAGTAGTAATGTGTTAAATGTTCTCTTTTTCCAGTCCACTTGAATCCAATTAGGTCTTTCAATTTTGTTCACGAAAACATTATTTATTATGAGAAAAAGGAACAATCTCAAACAAACTGACATCACATGTTAGATCAGTTTTTGGTGAACCTGATCTGTCAAATATTAGGTCATTTTCTGGGTCTGTGAACATTTATGTGACAAACTAAAGAGAGATTTAGACAGAATAATGGGAGAGCATTTTTGTTCAGTACTATTACCATGCATAATTATTTGACTGTAGGTAATATATCAATTAAGCCATTTATATTAATTAATGGTGTGCCAACTCAATTCCACTTGCCTGCACATGATACGGCTTGGACTTTCTCTCTCATATTCACAAGGCGACATCTTGGGACTGGATACACCCGCTCTTTTCGTCTCTCCATCTACCCTCTCTTCTGTCACGGTCTCGTAGAAATCCTAACTCCTCTACCTTTCAAATCCAACCCTCTCTCCCAACTAGAACAGTCAAATTTAATTGATTCTTCAAATCCTATTTCTCAAATGGTTGAATTTGTGATTGAACTTAGATCTAATCGAAGTTTGACATTGCCGCTGACTAAGATCTCGTTGATCGAACTTCGTTTCTAAGCTACAAACTCATAGATCGAACTTCTCTGTAAGGTATGCACATCTTCTTACTCCTTGAGTCAGCTGTGTCAAAGTGAGAAGGGCCGAATCCGACCTAGATCCCGCACCCACACTTGAACCTGGACCTGTGTCATGTCGACATGGGTACTCCCCCCAAAATAGTTAGTACATGTAACACAATTGATAACTTTGCACAATTATGCAATGGTGGATGTTTGGTTTTCCTTTATTGGTCATGTCCTGTCTATACTAGTAGGAAACTCCTATTTGGGTGGCGTTTCTTATTTAGAGACGTGATTCCATGCTCCCAAGTAAGAAACCTATAAAAAAACTTGCTCTCATCTGAGATAAAATCTCTCAAACATACAAATCTCAAACAAAAGAAAAACAGCTCAAACTTATTTTAGTACTTTCTATTTACATAATAGTTATTTATATTTAGTAACGATAATTTGTAGTTGATATCAATTTCCACTAATAATTCATATTTTAACATATATAATACAACTAAGCAGAAAAAAATATTAAAATATATTAATATATAAAATATATACATGGTCCCATAGATCTTGTTGATCGAACTTCGTTTTTAAGCTACAAACTCATAGATTGAACTTCTCTGTAAGGTAAGCACATCTTCTTACTCCTTGAGTCAGCTGTGTCAAAGTGAGAAGGGCCGAATCCAACCTAGATCCCGCACCCACATCTGCACCTGCACGTGCACCTGTGTCATGTCAACATGGGTACTCCCCCCAAAATAGTCCATACATGTAACACAACTAATAACTTTGTACGATTATGCAATGGTGGATATTTGGTTTTCCTTTATTGGTCATGTCTAGTCTATACTAGCAGGAAACTCCTATTTGAGTGATGTTTCTTATTTAGAAATGTGATTCCATGCTCCCAAGTAAGAAACCTATAAAAAAAACTCACTCCCATTTGAGATAGAATCTCTCAAACATACAAACCTCAAATAAACAAAAGAAAAACAATTCAAACTTATTCTAGTACTTTCTATTTATATAATATTTATTTATATTTAGTAAAGATAATTTGCAGTTGATAGTAATTTCCACTAATAATTCATATTTTAACATATGTAATACAACTAAGTAGAAAAAAAAATTTACAATATATTAATATATAAAATATATACCTGGTCCCATAGGCACTTCCTACCTTAGAATCTTATATGTGTCCTCGCTCCCTCAACCCCACTTCGTATCCATTTTCGTCTGTTCATAGGAACTAAGAGTTTTGTCACGTGATCAATGTCTAGGGGGTCTATTGCTTTGTTGGTGCCCTGGAGGAGCTTGCTACATCTTTGTTTTGCCATCTTTTACTTGTGTTTTTAACATATGCATTACCTTATGCTTAGTTAGTCTTTGTGTTTGAGATGGCCATGAGAAATGCTTTGTATCACTCTAAGGCTATGATGCACGGATACGGATACGGGACTCGACACGGACACAGGGACACGCAAATTTTTTAAAAATGAGGGACACGACATGCTGGGGACACGTTTAATATATATAATTTTATTTATTTATTATATGTCTAAAATAAAAAGAAAATCATTATTTTTTATACAATTACAATAATAATAAAATTAATAAACATATTTTAAAAATTTTTTTTAATAAAAAATGAGTTTTTTTATAAATAAAAATAATAAGGATAAAAAAAAGAAAAAAGAAAAAAAAAAGAGATGGAAGAAAATAAAGGAGGAGAGAGAGAGAGAGAGAGAGAGAGAGAGACGGGTGAATCAGCAAAAGGGGGGAAAAATAAAAAAGATGAACAAAAGAGGGAGGGGAAAGTGAAATGAGAGAGAGAGAGAGAGAATAGGAGAAGACGAAGAAAGGGGAGGAGAAGAAGAAGGTGACAAAAGACGAAGAGGAGGAGGAGGAGAAGAAGATGAGAGCATACGAAGAATACCTCAGCTTCTTCAATTGATTTGAATAGGTTAGGGCTCCTCTCCTCCCTCGATCTCTTTCTCTGTCTCCTCTCCTCCCGCGATCTCTTTCTGTGTCTCTATTTCTCTTTCGTTGTCTCCTCTCCTCCCTCGATCTCTTTTTCTCTTTCTCTCTTTCTCTCCAACAGTTAGGGTTTCGATCCACCTCATGCGTGTCCAGAAAGTGTCACAGCGTGTCCATGGCATGTCCGACTGGAAAAATTCAAAAAAAAAAGACACATTAGAGAGAGTGTCGGACATGTGTCCACCACGTGTCCATGTCCGACACGTGTCTGACACTCGTACGGAGGCCCTTGGGACGTGTCGGTGCTTCATAGCTCTAAGGTGTGCAAAATTCAGCTTAGATCAAGGATGGGTTCTTTGTTGGAAACAAGGTTTTGAATACTATTTCACAAGCAAACCGGTTTTAAAACAGTGCAATTTTTCGCCTAACTTCTCAAACAAATTGGTGTTTCGGCCAGTAGCTTCACCTTCATTTGGCTCTTGCTTTTAGCTATGTTATCAAATAGCATAGCAATAGGTGTTACCTAATATAATAGGAAAAGAATATTTTTTTGAACATGTACATATAATGCTCTGTATTTTGTTATGTTGACCCAAAATGGGTGATGCTCTGTATTTCTATCTTACTCTGTATATGTGTTTTAGCATTATTAATGTGATGCAAAAAATTATTTAGTGCAAGGTAATTATTTTTATTATAAATATATAATATTTGTTGTTATGGTTAAGATTTGGCCTAATAACCTTAAGGTTATGGTTTCAAGTCTTGGGGCCACCACTTTGTGCATTATGCTAAAGGTTAGGTGTGTACTCAATCTTTCCCCTCCCAAACACACATTAATGTGTACTAATTGGGCGTTGCTTTTTAATATTTGTTGTTATAAATCCGAAATGGTATTCGAAAACTTACTGGTACAGTATGTACGGTACC